TCCTTGGTGGCCGTCGTTTGGCTACCGATCATGCGGCGGTCGGCCATCTTGGATCCTTTGTTCCCCCAGCGGTTTTTGGTCATCGAGCGCGTGGTACTAAAAACGGCTACTCGACGGCGCGAACACCGCTGAACTTCCAGGCCGTTCGGGAGTTCCGGGCCGTTCGGTATTTTATTCCCTTAACATCAATCGGTCTTTTGAATGTGTGTTTCAATTAATATGTTTTTCGTGCGGCGTTCGGTTGTTTTAGCTGGGATCTGAGTGGTAAGCTCACGAATGATGCGCTCAGACCCCAGCTATCTACCGAACGTCCATTCGTGCAAATAGACCTAATAGTCGAAAAACTGTGTATTTTAAAGTAAATTGACGGTTCTGTTGCACGGAGGGATAATCTACTTAACAGTATATTCCAGTGGGTGGATCCCTCTCGTGCAGCAGTGCCTCATGGGGGAAAGGCTCTGTAATGTAAGTTCCCATGTAGTCCACTCTGGGAATACCCCTGGGATGGGACTCAGGAAACCCCTTGCATGGGGAATTGTATAAATTGTGGAGCCTGTGAATAAAGCCTTCAGTTGACTCTCAGAACTGTGTTTCGTCCGGTTACTGGGAGATTGGGGATATTGCCTTGCTTTTCAGCGCTTGACTGTGGATTACCTTCTGAACCAGTGGAGATCGTGGGATTTAATATTGCCACTCTGCTACAGTCATGTTGTCAACGGTCGAAGGGATTTCCGGCATTGCAGGGTGGTGCGAGACAGGTCTGAGTAAAATGTTAAGTCCATGCCCTCAAAGCTGAAGGGGTTCTTCCCTCTGATGGCACTCATGAGTGCTGCTTTGTCTTGCCCATTTTGGAGTTTGACCAGGAGGTCACTTGTTGTGGTGCCTGTGAGTTGTGATGGTTTGGGTAGGCGAAACATGCCATCCAGCTGTATCCCCTTTGCTTGCCTGGGGGGCAGCAGAGTTGCAAAATGCCTGCAGAAGAGATGGGGCAACTCAGCTGGGGTCACAGTGTCAGAGAGGCCTCGGATTTTAATGTGTTTCCATCTGCGTTTATCCTCCATAGCTGCTAGTTGGTGGGACAGTGCAGTGTGAGCCGTGGTGAGTTCTCTCACCTGCGTCTGGAGGTCTATCACCTGGGCTGCATGTGTTTGGGTAAGTTGCTCCACGGTGGTAAGGCGAGCGGTAAACTCTCTGACATTGTCCCTTACTTGGGAGATCTCTGCGGACAGCGCCTGGCACAGGCCTGAGAGTAGAGAGGTGAGTATCTCTGTGGTGACCGGGTGACCCGCTGTCGGCTGTACAGGCTTAGCCGGTCCTTGATATTCCAGATTCTCCGGGCAGTGCAGGGGGATGTCGTCAAAGCTGTCGGAGTAGTCCTTGGTGTCGGCCGCCATCTTAGGCCCTGCCGCGCCATGCGGTCTCCTCAAGAGATCGCCTATGTCAGCCGTTTGCCGGGGCCGATCCGGGCGCAGTTTTTTAAGTTTTCTTCCCCATCAGTGTTGGAGTGTCGCTGGGCTTCTTGCCATGCAGTTAGCAGCCGTTTTGGGCAAAATTTGGGTCTTTAGGGTTTCCTATCTTTGGAGAGCCGCGGGTATGCGACTGATCAGGTTGAGCGCTGGCTCCGTCCCCCCGAAGAATAATTTTTAAACCAAATAGACCTGGGTAAATATGGATCTGCTAAGCGGTGATATCATTATATAAACAAAGAATCTAAAAATCTAAATGCATATTTACAAGTCCAAAGTCCAACTTAGCAAAACCTGAACGATAAAAATAAATAAATAAATAGTAAATAATGAGGCTGTGTGACGAGAGCAATCTCGCCACATTGCATTGGAGAAGCCGGTTGTTCGCCTGTTGCCTTTGGATTATGGCCCCATGTTAAAAGGCTTGATTTTCCCCTGCAAAGACAAGAAAGCCGGGTCATTTGGTGCTTGCCCTGTTTGAGCAGTGATACCCCAGATAGCTATGCCATGGAGCCCATTCGTATAATGAAAGACTATGGGATTGGGAGTTATAATCACTGCGTTTCAGTTGGAGTTCGGGAGAAGCTGAAAGGATCATCGCTGCACGAATGCAAGGATCCTTTACACTGGTGGCAAGCGGCGGGATTTCCTCCCGAACGGACGTACCGAATTGAATCAAGTGGTGAATGGCGCATAGATACGAACGTTTGAAACGAAACACATTAAAGGAACTGCTGGAAGCTCGAGGCATAGTGGCAAGCAACAAACCGAAAGCCACGTTAATAGCCAAACTACTGGAGAGCGATCAAACCGGCGAACCACAAATGGCGAATGCAGAGGAAACAGAGTTCCAGAGGGATGTGAGATGGAGACTCAGCCTGGTAGGACCTAACCCGGCACCAGAGATCGTGGTACAGATCTTGGCACAAGCTACGGAGTCCCAGAATGCCAGGGAAGCACGAGAAGCCAGAGACAGATCACCTCCAGTGGATATACTGTCGCTATCTGGATCTACAATGGGGCGTCAGCGGAAAATTAACTACGCTGCATTTAAAAGCTTTGTGGAAGGTGAGATGGGACCGTGGTCTCTGCACGTCCAGCACAGGGGGTAGGGACGGTCGGTTCTGCCCCCCAGCAACAGGGCTGTTTAGCCAAAGGGGAGACAGTCGGTCTCCAGC